CAAGAGTAGGGGTACTTTGGGTCGCCTGGCCGGCCTAAGCCGCCGAGGTGGAGGACGGAGGAGGGGGGGGGGAGCTTTGGCAGTGGGAAGTTCTGGCTTTGGGGTTAGAGAAAAGGTGGCTCCCGAGAGGCCTGACCGACCCCCAAAACCAGGCGCGAAGGCGGGAGGGTGCGGGGGCGGTGCGGAGATTCCCTGCGTGTTCCAACCGAGTCCTGGACCAGCGGGATCCCCCTCCCAACATAAGTCCACGCGGCCAGCACGGTCGAGCCACATCTGAGAGAGCCGCACGCACGTACGGTACGGCTCCCCGCATAAACACTGGCGCACACGTGCACGCTGCTCCCCAACAGATAGCGCCCCAGCTGTCCAGGGAGGTCGCCGCGGCTTCTCACACCTTCCTGCTGCGCTGGGGGCCTGACCCCCGCCCCGGCGCCAGCTCCTCACCTGGGGGCGAGGGTGCGTCCAGTGTGCTGCGCCTGCCACCAGCAGAGGTGTGCCCTGGTGTTCCGTCCAGGGCAGCGTCCGGAGCGTGGGCGTGCGTGCGTCGGGCCGGCCAGCGCCCGCCGGGCTCCGGGCAGCTCCAAGCAGGGCCCGGCCTGGCCCAGCGAACCGAGGGGGCGCGTTGGCGCAGCGGTGGCTTCGCTGGATTCCTAATGGGACGCATATGCTCTGGCCTCCGATTTAAAAAGAAGTTTGATTTATGGAACCGCCGTTTGGGGGAATTTAAGCTGGATGCTACTGATTAAACCTCAGAGCCAGCTCGCCCTCCCTTTCTTTCCTCCTTTCCCCCTCCCCCTCCCCCTCCTTTACACGCGGGCCACGTCCGGGGTCGCCTAACGCGGCCAGAGGGGGCAGCCGCTGCCTTCCCGCTCCCTGTGCACCCCCTCCCTCCCCGCGGCCACAGTCCTAATAAATCGCCGCGCCCCCACCCCCTTTTAATAGGGACGCAGCCAATTTCTCCTCCAGCTCCTAGGAAATTACTATCCTACCAGTTTTCCTTCTATAAATAGTCGCGCATCTTGAAACAAAAGTTCGCAACCACAGCCAGATGCTGCGAGGCCCGCGGTTTCCCGGGCTGTGGGGCATAATTACAAGGTCCGGGCGCAGAGAGCGCTCCAGGCCCGGCGGGCAGCCCCGGCTGCGGAGGCATCGCGCGGGGCGGGTGTGTGTAGGGGGGCATGGCTGCCCCGGGCAGGGCGCAGGGCGGGTGGGGACCGCCTGATCATTGGGGATCGGGGCTAAGAAAGAGAGCCCTGCCTCTGGCGCCTCTCCCAGGAAATGGATCTGCCTCGGGGGCCTCGGAATCCCAGCCTCCGAGTCTCAGAGGGCCGAGGGTTCTCAGAGGTCGGAGGTGGAGGTCCAGAGCCCCCCCCCCCCCCAGCATCCCTGGCACCGCGATCTTAAATCTTGCTCGAGAATCCGCAGCTACTCTGCCTAAGAACTCATTTTTGGAGCCAGCTGGCTGAGGTTTGGCGTTGATGGGGAGGTGTTCAGGGGTGGGAAACCTGGGCTCCCGGCACGGTTTGCAGTGAGATTTGGGGAGGAAGAGGTGGGCAAAGGGCTCGGAGGCTGGTGAGAGGGGGCGGAGGAGAGGGCAAGGCAGGTGGTGCCAGGGTGCCTCCGCGGACCCCGGGCGCCCTTCGGGCCTGGCCCTCCCCGGCCGGTTCGCAGTGACCGCCGTCCATGCCCACACAGGCCTCCCCACGGGAGTGCGCTGCCAGCTTTGTTGGCCGAATTCTCCTCAGGCAGCCGCTTTCCCAAATGTCCCTGGGCCCGGGCTGGGGTCTGCAGTGGCCGGGGGGTTGGGGGTGCTCTGCCTGCGGCAACCCGCCCTCCAGCCAGCCCTGCCTGACCTGAAGTCCCCGGGGCGCGGGGTGGGGGGCGGGGGGCGGGGAGGGAGAAAGTGCTGACGCTAGCCTTTCCTGGGCAGGGAGAGCTCAGCTGTTCCCAGGGGCAGGGGGGCGAGGCCTCCCGCACCCCCAGGGCTTCCCTGCCCTGTTTGGGTGGGCGCGGGCTGCATGCACAGGGTGCCGTGGGTGGGGGGGCAGGGCGCGGGTGACGAGAATGAAAGCCGGCGTGGTGGGAAGACCCGCTCTGGCGGCGAGCTGATGCCCAGAGGCAGGTGAGGCGGTCCCCACGGAAGGGCTTCGAGAACTGTCTGGGCTGGTGCTGAGCCCGCCTGCGTCAGAGGGCCAGCCCTGTGGGATCTGAGGGCGCCCGGGGCAGGGGGGGGGCCCCCGGGCAGAGGCTTCTTTCTGCTCCAGAGAACTTTCCAGAAGGCATCCCATCGCTGGGATCACAGACACTGGCAGACAGTTGATCCTGCCCCTTCCATCTGGGCTGCTCTCCCAGCCCCCGTCCCGGGCCGCGGTCCGTGCACAGTGCGTCCCAGATGTGTGTCTGGGCGCTGCTGCTGATCGGGTCCGACGGGTGCGCTGGCCTGGAAGGGCCCGAGCCCCCGTGCCGTGCGGGCCCCCGCCCCCGGGCCGAGCTTGGCCAGCGGGCGCGTGGCAGGCAGCTCTGACGGCCACACCCTCCCCTGCACCTCTGCCGGGCAGAGGCCAGGAGGGCTGGCGGGGGGCGGGGCGGGCCCAAGGGAGGGCAGGTGGGAGGCTGCGGGCCAAGAGGCGGCCTGCGGTGCCAGGTCAGCTGGTACGGGGGCCTGGCGGGGGCCCCACGCCAGGACCAGGCCGGCCTCCTGTGCTGGGCAGGTCCCTTCCGGCCTTGGCCTCCCGCTCCCAGATGTGGGGGTTGGCGGCAATGATCCCCCAGGTCTTCCGGCGGGAGCCTCTCACGGTCACCGCCTGCTCTGGGGAGCTGAGTGAGTCATGAGTGACAGGGTGGTTACTCACCGACCACCTGGCTGTGGTGGGGGGGGGGGCTGGCGCTCACCACTCACTGCCCAGCCAAAGCTGGGCCTCCTCCGGGCTCCGCTGCTGTGGCTTTAGTGGTGGCACCCGCCGCGGTGGCAGGGGCCCGCTGGCATGCCCCTGGGGGGCGGCTGAATCAGGTCCGCTCCCGTGGTATCACACACAGCCCAGGGGGCAGAGTGGGTCACTGGCTCGGATGTGGACAGGTCACCCGCGGGCGGGGAGGCCCCAGCTTGGGAGGCTGAATCTGCCTGAGTTTGGAAACAGCTCTGCTGGGTGGCCTCGGTCAGGCCCACGGGCCGCCCCAGGCCTCAGTCTCCCTGCCTGCCCCTGGGGACGGGGAGTCCTCCGTCGCAGGCTCAGGTCGGCCCGCGTGGCCTCAGGCCTGAGAGCACGCCGCTGTGGAGAGGGGAGGGCGCGCATGGCGGGGAGAGGCAGGGAGCCCGAGAGGATCTGAGCACCCAAGGGACCCCCAGCTCGCGGCGGACAAATCGGAGCACCCCACGAAGTCCCTGGCATGGGACTGAGACCACCAACCGCTAGTGAAAGGGGGGTCGGCGCGTCCTGGACAGGGGTCTCTGTGGCGCTCCGGGTGTGGGCCATGCGCGCGGGCCGGCAGGGCTCCCTCTGGGCCACAGCGGGCTCTGCAGCTGTGTGCGGGGCCCTCCAGGAGCGCGGCCTGGGTCCTGGCCAGGTGTCCCTTGAGTCCTTGTGAGGGCGGGGGCCCGATGGTGACCCACATGCCATCCTCATTCCCCCTCTTATTGCCTGGGCGCCTCCTGGAACCTCAGCTGTGTCCTCTGCACAGAGGGGGTCATGGGAACTCGAATCCCCTAGAGCAGGCGTGCGAATTTAAGAAGCAGACGTGGAGGTGCGCCCAGCTGGGCTCCTGGGGTGCAGCCACAGCTCAGGAGACAGGGTCCTTCTCAGCTCTTAGGAGTGAGCGGGGAGGCCCCATGGATGTGTTTGTTTAGGGGAGGGTGATGAACTCTCAAGGTATCTTGGAGGGCTTCCTGGAAGAGGTGACACTGAGACAGGGTTTCGAAGGGTGGATAGGAGTTGGCCAGACTGAACAAGAGCATGCGGGAGAACCTGGAGGGAACGATACTCACCGTCAAACCCATCCGGTCACCCAGGGTTCCTCTCGATGGGCCTCATGGCACCTGCTGAGGTGACTGGGCTGAATGCCAGGGTCCAGCAGAGAGGCCCTCTGCTGAGGTCACCCCAAGCCAGCGTGACCGCCTCGGAGGAGGTGCTGCCTATGGGGGCCTCTGGGGCCTCGGGTGGGACAAGGAGCTGAGGGAGGTGCTCTGGGGGGCGGGGGAGCCACCTTGGAGGGAGACGTTTCCTGGGGCCCCGACTGCACATTGTTTGTTTCTTCATTGAGTCCCCCGGGACTTGGTGGACACAGGCCTAGCAAGTCACATGCCCTGCCCCGCCCCCGACGCCGACCCCATCCCTCAGAGCCTCTGGCAGCTGCTGGGGAGCCCAGAGCCCCAGCTGGGGGTCTGCACCAGTGCTCCGGATGGAAGGTGGCGGCGGGGGAGGGGGTGGGGATGTAGGTCTGGAACGTGAGACCCAGGCCCTCTGTCAGCCCAGGGTTGGGGGGCGCCCACAGCCTGGGGCCCCGTGCTCTGGGGGCCTCTCTCCCCTGGGGCAGTTGGAGGGGCTTCGGCTGGCTCCCCCGAGGCCTCCACTTTTCACGGCCCTGGGTCCGGCCTAGAGAGGGCTCGGCCTCCCCCCCTATTCCCTCAGCGAGGGGACAGGAGTCTGGGCGCCCTCCCTTGTCAGATGAAACCCCGGCCCAGGGCTCCCTCAGCCTGATGAAAGGGTCATTGTGTGGCGCAGGCCGCCCGCTGGCCAAGGACAAAACCGCCGTTTGTCCTCCTTCCCTGGCGCGGGGCTGGGGCCTCCCTTGGGCCGGCCAGCGGAGTGGGGGTGGGCACAGGTGCGCTCCCGCGTCCTCCCTTTCTCCGCCCTCCCTGTCTGCATCACAGAGCAGCTCTGCAGCCCTGGTCCCTCCCAGGCCTGCCCCCCACCCAGGGCGTCCTCGCCCCTGAGCCGGGAGCCTGAGCCTCCAGCCAGCCCAGCTGTTGGCTGCGAGGTAGTGAGCTCTCTGGCCCTGGAGGCATGCAAACAGACGTGGCAGTGAGGGCCCGGGATGCTGGGCAATGGCCTGGCCGGGAAGACAGCCGGCCCTCGCTGCTCCTCCGTGCCAGCAGCTGCGCGGACTGTTCGGCCCGCTCCGCGGATGAGGCCGCTGAGGCCCGGAGGCGGTCACCCTGCGCCGGCCTCCGTGGCAGGGCCCAGCAGGGTCCTCGGGCCCTGGGGGTGCCGTGCAGGGCTCCCCCTGAGCCTGTGAGCGGGAGTCGCTGTACAATTCAGCAGTCCCCTTCGCTGCTGCAGAGCCTCAGCCCGCCAGCGCCCGGAGTGGAACCAGGGAGGACGCCCGACCCGGCGAGCAGTGCCCGAGCCTCAGCCGTGGCCTGGAAGAGCCTGAGCTGGCGTCCCCGGCTCCCATCTGATGACGCCTGTGGGCCTCTGTCCCTTTCAGATGCTTCCCTCCCGCATGGCTGTCCCTGCTCCCTACACCACTGCACGCGCCTCCCAGGGCAGGGTGTCCGGGTGCTGGAGAGTCCTGCCATCCGGGCCCAGGCTCCTGGAGGGAAGGAGCCGGGGACAGGGTGGGTGCTGTCCCAGCTCACCCCCGGTGGCAGACATCGCTGCTGCCCAGGCGCCCAGGGTCTAGAGCTGAGACTCCGGCCCTCACCGCCCCAAGTGGCAGCACAGATGGAGTGGCAGTCGCTCTGGGGCAGACTCCCGGCTCCTGGACCCCCGACCGGGGCGCGCAGGTCTTTGTACCGCCTTCTGGGGGCCTTGGGCGCCCCTGGAAAGGCCTCCCGCGGGGCTGGCGCATGCATGCTGGCTGGGGCTCCCTCTGACTCTTTCCTCGCTGGCCCCCAGGATGAGGCCAAGCGAGGGTCGCGTGCTGGCAGGTGGCGAAGCGGGGCACCTGAGGGCCTGTCACTGTCTCAGTCACAGCCAAGGGGGCTGAGCCCAGATGCCAGCCTGGGTCCGTGCTGCCTCTCGGGCGTCTGCTGACGTGGGTTTCCAGCAAACGCCGCTTCCCTTGACCTCACCTGGGCCCCGAGACCAACGCTTCCTGCTGGTTAGGATCGTCTGCTGAGCAGGAGTCGAGAGAAGCCAGCCCCCGCCGGCCAGCTGGCGGCCTCTGTTGGGTCAGCATGGTTGGCGCCGTGGGCTGTGGACTTGGGGCAGGCTCGGAAGCCACCTGCCGCTTCCCTGGACCTCGGTCCCTCCGTCTGTGTGCTGGGCCTAGGTGCTCTCTGCTGTGCTCCCCTGCTCCCCCGCGCCACTTCCCACCCCCCCCCCCGAGCCCGCCCCTCACGCTGCAGCCTCGACAGCAGCCCCCAGGCCAGGGGGCCACGACGGGCCATGTGCGCAGGAGGAACTGGGCAGGCAGCCCTCCTTCCTCCCCCGGTGCCACCCATGGCAGACGCCCCGACCCCTGGCAGTGAGGGTGGGCCCGGGAGAGGCATCCCTGACCTGGTGCTGAAGAACGTGCTGGAGGGAAGGACGGCCTTGCTGGCGGGGATGACTGTGGGTGTGGCCGGGGCCAGGGCGTGGGGGCCTCAGGATAGAGTGGGGTGGGCGGAGGGGCAGCTGCCCAGGCCTGCGGCCGTGGGAGGGCAGGATGGGCAGCTTTGTCCCGGGCACGGGGTGCACAGCGGGGGACGGAGGGGCTGCTTCTGCCGCTGGCCCCCAGATGGAGGGGCTTTGGGCGGAGGCAGGTCCCCCTGGGCAGGACCCACGGGCTGACGGGGCAGCGCGGTCGGCAGGCGGGCTGCTCGCGGTGGACGGCTGCCCCCCTGGCACCTGGTGCCTTATCGGGTGCCCGGTGGACACTCAGCGGGTGGTCAGACAGCCGCTCGTGTCCCGGGCCTGGTGAGGCCATGGCCCCGGTCAGGGTCCCCTGCCCGGGGTTGGGGGCGGAGGCCGCCAGGCGGGTGGTGGCTTAGACGCTTCCACGGGCAAAGCCCCTGCCCCACCCCAGCAGGGCTGTCCCCCGCTGGTGGCACTGTCCCTGGGGTGGGGCACAGTGCCCGCCTGCCCAGGTTCCAGGGTGACCGTCCTGAGCCTCAGGCCCGTGAAATAGGGTCAGCCCAGGCGGGTGCCCAAAAGCGTGCCTGGGGGCTGGCCGGGCAGGCGGGTGTCACGGGAGCCCTGCACGGGGAGCCAGCAGCTTCAGGCTCCGGTAGCTCACCCTGTCCCCAGGAGCTCAGAGCGCACAGGGCCTCTGGGCTCATCACACAGGGTGTGGGGACCCCAGGGACACAGGCCCTGGCAGTGCCAGGTGGGGGCTGTGGTCAGTTGGTATCCAGGGCCGGTGCTGGGCTGAGGGCTATGAGCTGCTGGAGAGCTCCGCCCGCCCCCTCTCAGACCCCAGCTGGCGGCCCCGAGACCGGGCAAGGCTGCAGCCCCCGCAGGCGTGCACGGGTGGGCACCTGGTCCCGGGCGCCCTTATGTCCTGTCCAGCAGCGCTGGGGGGAGGCAGGGTGTGCAGTGTGGTGACTCCAGCTGCCAGGGAAGGCCTTCTTGTTGTCTAGCTTCTGCCCATGAGTGGACATTGCAGGTGCCCCCAGGTGCCCACCACTGCTTGGTCCCCAGCCCCTCCCAGAGAGGTGCTGAGAGCCAGGGTTTGCGGCCGAGACCGGTGTGCGCCCGAGGACCTTGGGCCCCCCTCCCTGCCTCCCCTCCAGCGTGGAGACTCCTGCAGGGGGAGGAGAGGGGGAGGAGAGGGGGAGGAGGAGGCGGGAGGGCGGCAGGGAAGGACGCTGAGGAAACAGGAAGTGCGGAGAGAGGCCCAGAGCCTGGTCCTGCCCTTGGCTCTGATGCACGACCCCTGCCAGGGGGTTGCGTAGCCTCAGCGAGATACTGCACGTCCCCAGCTGGGGTCTGGCTGCAGAAGGCAGGGCACGCTCAGGTCCCCAGGCCGCTTCGGGCAAGGCCCCGGGGCCCGCGGAGCCAGGGAGGCGTTCCGAAGGTGCTGAACTCATTAAACACTCAGCACGTTGGCAGGTCTTCCCGGCTGGGATGCCCGGGGGCAACGCAGGCTGCTCCTGAGGGAGCGAGCGCCCTGTCCCTCAAGGCGCGCAAGCCGAGACGGTTGGCGGAGGAAGCAGAATTCTCGGAAGGAAAAGCCCAGGGCACTGGGCTGCGTAAAGAACAGGCGGGTGGGGGGGAGGGGGGAGTTGCTGCACCCTGGAGGCTTCGGCCGGAAGGGTTCCCAGCTTCGGTGAGAGCAGGTGCAGGTCCACAGATGGAGGTGGGGTGGGGGCAGGGGGGCCTGTGCGCGGCCGGGCCTGGGCTCCGCTCGGGCTCCCATTCCGCTCTGAGGTCCTGTGCCGCCCCGGCAAGCCCCACCTTCGCCTGCTCCTGGAACAGGGACCCTCCAGGACACCGGTCTTTGTTTTAGTCTTGGGCCAGGGGGTCAGGCCTGCCCTGCAGTCTACACAGAGGTGACTGCTCACCGTCCGCTGCCCACGCACCTGCCGCTCGGACCCTGTCCTGAGCAGCCGGGAGGGCTGAGGCCCGGCCGGCCCTTGAGGTGACCAGACTCACAGCCTGGCCGTGGGCCAGCGAGGCCTGCCAGTTCCTTCCCATCTGTTCCGCCCGCCTGCCGGCCCATCATCTGTCCTGAGGTTGCAGGCTGGCATCCTGGTCACCCAGGCCTGCACGGTGCCCCCGCGTCCAGCAGGTCTGGGGCGTTGGGACTGCGGCCAAGGCCAGGGCTGGGAGGCCCATTCCTGCTCGGGCCTTAGCTCACGGTGCAGCCTGTGGTGCCTTGCCACCAGTGTCCCCTTCCGTACCCTGAGGAGTGAGGAGCAAGGCCAGGGATGCGGCCTCGGGGAGGCTCAGGGCACCGCGAGGGCTTCCGGAGGCGCAGCCTGGCCTGGCCAGATGGCTGCTGCTGACTCTCGGCCCTCAACTGCCTCCACAGGGGGCTGCCATCGAGGCATCCGTGCAGGCAGGGAGGACAGAAGAGAGACCTAGGCAGGCTTCCTGGAGGAGGAGGCATTGAGTGGGGCCTGGAATTTTGCCTTGTTGCCGGGGGTGGGGCAGGGAACTTCTGGAGGGGGAATCACAGGTCCAGTGTAGCCTGAATCCAGGCATGTTAAGGTTGGCCTTGAATGCCCAGCAGAGGTCTGGGAGTTTCTGAGGTCAGGGATCCATGTCTTGGGGTCACAGCGACAGGGTGAGGTTCTGACTTCACAGCGTTAGCCGCTGCGGGGGGCTGCCCGTGGGTGGGGAGGACCCTGTGGCCGTCCTTGCCCGCCTCCGGCAGCCTCAGTGCGGCCCAAGGGCCCCCGCAGGCTGCCTACTATGGCCGGGCTGCCGGGTTTCTGCCAGGGCGGGACTCCGGGGTGCCAGGCCCACAGTCCGGCTCTGTGGGGGGCGGGCCTGAGAAGCAGGTGACGCTCTGCCCTCCCCCCCGGGACACTGCGGGCATGGGGCTGAGTGGAGCGGTGGCCCAAGAGGCCGCTGCAGGCAGGACCCGCAGTGCCCGGACCCTGCCTGCAAGCAGGGGCTGTCCTTCCCCTGGGACAGATGGGCAGGTGGAGGCTCAGAGGGGCCGGTGAGAGCCAGCCCCGCTGAGCTAGAATGCAGGGCCCCAAGCCCAGGTACTCTCTTAGGGCACGGCTACAGACACCTAGGCCATCAGCTCAGCCTCCCGCTCCCCAGGGGGAAACTGAGGCCCAGGTGCGGCAGGGAGGGGCAGAGGGATGGCCTCATGGCCCCCCCGGTGCCTCTTCCCGCCTCCAGGCCCTTCTGTGCTCCTGCTGGGACACCCTCGTCCCTACCCACCACCCCTAGTGCCGCCTCCCGGGTGTTCGTCCCCACCTTCGCTCGGCCTGGTGCAGGGTACCTCCAGCCCGGGCCAGTGGAGGGCGAAGCCATCGGCCAAAAGCGGGCCGATGGTGCTGCATTGTCAGGTGGGAAAACTGAAGCTCAGACCGCCTCAGGGCGGCCTTTCTGGGCCGGGCCTTCAAGTCCAGCAGGGGCGGGAGACGAGCAGACTCAGGGACGACCAGAGGCAGGACAGGGGGCCTGAGTGCCAGCCGTGTCCGGCTCGGCCCGATCTGTCCCCTTCCGTCCTGTGCCCTTCCATGGAGGAGGCTGGTCCCCAGCCCTGGCACTGTGACGGTGGCGTGGGGGGTGTGCGGAGGGACCCCAGACCCGGAAGACATTCATATACCCCTTGACAGGCGGGGGCACCGCAGCCACCCCCAGTCCCCACGGGAGCGGCTGGGCCCCGGAGCTGGCCCCCCGGGGCCGGGAGGCTCTGGGCCGGCCCCTGCTCACCTGCGAGGCTGGCGGGAAGTGGCCTTGGGTGGGCGTGAGGGCCAGGTGCCGCCCGCGCAGGTATTTGTCGAGTACTTCCTGGACAAGCGGACCCAGGCTCCCCTCCCTGGCTGATCTCAGATAATTAGAACATTCCTCAAATATTTTGCCGGAGGATGCCCGAGAAGGAAGAGTTACAGAGCTCCCAGGGCCAGGCGCGTGGGCTGGCGGCGCTCTGGGCAGCTGGGCAGCTGGGCGGCGGGCTGGGGGCTCGGAAGGAGGCCGGGGCGGGGCCCAGCCTGGCCCACTTGTCCCCACCTCCCCTGGGGCTACGGTGGGGGGTGGGGAGGGCTCACAGTCAAAGCAGCTCGGAGCCCAGCTGGGTGCTGGGCCGCGTTGGGGATCCCCGCCCTGGGAACCCAGTGGGGGGCGGACAGCCTTGCCCTGAGTGGGGGTAGGAAAAGCCGGGGGCCCGGCCTAGGGTCCTGCCCCCTGGGCTCCCCGAGGAGGCCTCTGCAGGGGGCCGCAGCGGATGTGGAGCCCCATCAGCCTGGGGCGAGCGGGACAGACGTGTGGATGCACAATTGGAGCGATGGGGGCTGAGAGGGAGCTGTAAGGGGTGTGCGTGTGGCGAAACTCGCCACCGCCACCTGCGGCCCTGCCAGCTCAGGCCCTGAGGCCACCGTCCTGCTGGTGTGGGGCGGAGCAGCCTGGCGTGGGTGGGGTGGCCCCAGAGGGCAGTGGGCCTGGGTGGGCTGCCCCCCCAACGCGTGCCGCCTGGGGGTGGGAAGGGACAGGCGGGGCAGGTGTCCCCCCGTGATCACCTCCTAGCTCTGTGGGGGGGTGTTGCTCTGGGGCCTTGAGGCTCAGAGGGTCAGTCCGGGAAGGACGTGGACCCTAATGTCCCCCGTGAGCACTGCCCTGGTCCTAGCCTGGGGACACTCCCAGGCTCCTGGGGTTGGTTCAGGGCCGAGGGGGCGGGGGGTGGGCTGCTGAGCCCGGGGACAGAGCTCAGAGGGGCGTCTCCCCCGGGCTGAGGTCTGTGGGGTCGGCCGCGTAGGAGGAACGGGAAGCTGAGGCGGAGGGGCCTGGCTCTCCGGGCCTCCTTGCGCGCACGGCAGCCACCTGTGGGACCCTGGCGTGGAGGCCCCGCAGGCAGAGCCGGCGGCTCTGGGCCGGGAGGCCGTTCTGTCACGTGTCCTGGGCTGGCGACGACAGCTCTTCCCTCCGGCTTTTTAAACAGAATGGCACAGCCTGACCCGCCACGGGCCCTGCAGGGGTCGGCGTCCCACCAAGGGCGCCCGGGGTGGCTCCAGCCCCGCGGCCCCGTCACCTGCCCCTCCCACAGCCGGAAGTACTGGGCCTTCGTAGGGAAGGCTGACGTCTCCCAACCCTCTGTGAAGTGGGCATAAAAGCCGTTCTCTATCGACCTAAGTGAAAACGGGCCGTGCCCGCCCGCTCATCCCCGGCCCCCCAGGGATGTCCGCGCAGGGAGGTCCTGCTCTCCGCACGAGCCCGGGGGGGCGTCCCTGGAAGGGGCCCCGGCCGATGCGTCTGGGGCGCCACCGCAGGCTCCCCTCGGAGGCTCACCTGTTTGTCTGTCGTTCAGTTTTTCCACAAGAACGCGGCGCCGGGCGCAGCACACAGTGGGCGGCGAGACAGGGACCCACAGTCCTGCGCCGGCCTTTCGGGGAGCGCCCACGACGCAGGCCCGCGCCTGAGGGGCTCCTTCTAGCCCGGAGACGGTTGCGGCCTCCCTCAGGAGCCCCCTGAGGGCCTCCAGTGCATCTAGACCCCACGTGCAGCCTCCTGCCACTCGGGACCAATGGGGGGGTTGGCTCTCCAGGTGGACAAGCGACCGCCCCCAACTGCCTCTGAGGGTGATGAGGCACTGACCGGTCGGGGACAGGAGGTGGGGGCCGCAGCTCCCACCCCCCGCCCTTTCTGAGCGACTCAGCCCGCGGCGGGACCTCTGGGGACCTCCCTGCTCTGCGGGCAGGAGGGTGGTTATTACCTGTAACACTTGCCTCTCCTCTTAGCCCAGTGTCCAGCACGCAGCCTGTGCTCACCCTGCCGGGAGCTGCCGAGAATCTAGAAGCACGAGGGCTTTAGGTTAGACTCCTGGCGGCCGGGACAGGCTTTGGGGGGTGGTTACCTCCTGCGTGAAGCTGGGGTGTCCGCTGCAGATGGGGGGGACAGAGTGGCTCTAGTCCTGGATATAGGTGAGACGCTGGCTGCCCCACCCGACCCCTCTCGGGCCTCAGGGTCCCCGACGGTGGTGATGACACAAACGTCCTTCCCCAAGGATGCTGGAGCGGGGCGCTGCCCCGAGGAGCCCCCCAGGCGGGGCCTTGGCCGGGCGGCCGTAGCCTGAGCCCTGAGCCATCTCCTCCCAGCCTCCGCCAGGGCCCGGCCCCGCCGGAAGGGACGCCAGCAGGTGGGCAGCTCCGCGTCCCAGGCGCCCGCGCCAGGCTGGGCGCAGCCGCGAGGAGGAGGGTGCCGCCCGTCACAGCCCTGGCCGTGAAGGGCCCCGCAGGACCTCCTGTCCCTGCCCCTCACGGCCCCAGGAGCCCCTGAAAGCAGCCTCCTCTATTCGGGGTTCAGGAGGCCGCGGGCCTCGGGGGACAGGCTGACGGCATCTGTGGACGGAGTCCAGGCAGGGACGAGGGCGGGCGGGCAGGACGCCCTCAGAGGACCGGGCCGGGGCGCCTTTGATCCCAGGGTGTCTGAGAGCCGGGGGTGGGGGGGCGCGCCTGCAGGGGGTGGCCCCCCAGCCCGCCGTGGGGCCCTGAGGCCGGGCACACACAGGCAGGGCACACAGACAATGATTTTTAAGGTTCACACAGTTGTTCTTAAGCCTCTGTTATTTATTTTAATTTTTGTAAGAAAACTTGGCATTTTCCTTCTTGCCTTATTCTGTCAGCCCCGTGAATTTGTGTATTGGTGAGGTAGAACTTACTCTTGCGTTGAGGTGTAACTTACATAAAGTTAAGCGCAGAGATCTCAGAGGACGGTTTGATGCATTTTTATGTCTGGGGACAGCTGTGTAACCACTACCCAACGCGGGATGGAGAACATTCCGGAAGCCAGCAGGTGCCCTCCGCCCACGGCGACTCCAGTCTGACTGCTCGGAGGCCAGGTGCGCTCGGTCCAGAGCGCAGGGCCTATCCGGTTGCTTTTGCTTGGCCGTGTCTGGGGGAGTCACCCGCGTGGACGCGCGTCACCGCTGGGCGGACGTGCCACAGTGCGCCTGTCGTTCTCCCGGGCTGGGCGCCGGGAGGATCGGTCCCAGCTAGTGAGGCGGCGAGGAGCCCATTTCCCTCGGGGTGCGGATGCCCCCCGGGGTGAGGGCAGGTGGGGAGCAGATCCGGGCGTGGCCCCACGGGGGACACACTGGCTTCAGAGCTGCCAGGGTCAGAGCCCGTCCCCAGCATGGACACGGCTGGTGCCTGATCCCCGCGAGGGAGCTGGGTGCTGGGGCCCCGGCCTCAGGCGGAGAGGGCCAACACCGGTGACCTCTGTCCACGCCAGCGCTGCAGGCTGCGTGCTCCGGGTCGCGTCCTTCTGGCAGCGACGGGGTCTGTCAGGCTCGCTGTGACCCCCATTTCACAGATGTGGCAACGGAGGCACAGCAAGGTCCAGAAACGTGCCTGAGGCCTCTCAGCTGGGAAGGGGCAGAGCCAGGCTTCCAGGCCAGGGGGCGAGCACCGGCCCCGCGTTCCTTGCCCCGGCCGCACAGGGCTGCCCACGGGGTAGGCTGGCGCCCGGCTCACGCCACGGCGGAGGCCCCACCCTGCTGGCCACTTTGCACCTCTCTGTCACCTGGCAGCTGCCACCTCACCCCTCGCCCCCAGGCACCGCCTCGTCCCCTGGGGACTGCTCTGGCAGGAGATCCTCCACCTCCCTGTGGTCCCGTGGCGGCCACCGCCTTGCACCATGCCAGGCTCGAACCCAGCGCCAGGCCCCCGGCTGGCCGCCCCGCCCTGGCCCGAGACCCGAGGCCCTGTCCATAGCCCTGGGGACGGGAGCTTCCCCTCGGCAGGACCCGGAACGCTCTCTCCTAGCCCGTTCCTCTGACCGGCCCCGGGCAGGGGTGAGGAAATTTCCAGGCTTTCAGTGTTGCCCCCTCCTCCTGGCGTCTTGCCCATGTCCCGAGGCCCCTGAGCGGTGCTGGGGACAAGCCCAGAGCAGAATTTTCCATGGAAAAATCAGCGACTGAAACAGGAGCGCCCGCCTGGCTTCTCCGTGCGCCCGCCGGGCACCTGCGCGGGCGGCTGCAGGCCGGGGTGGGGGTGGGGCGGTGCCCGGAGGCTCTTCCCACTTTGGGGCGGGAGCCGGGACGCTGCGGGGCATCCTGACGAGAGGGCCGCCGCCACTGCCCTCGCCCAGAGCCCCCGCCATCCCGGATGCCACCGGCGTCGCCCGCCGTCCCCTCCCAAGGGCCAGTTCCCTCATTTTTCTGTATTTTCATCCCTGCGTTGCTTTCCTAGGGACGGCCAAGCGGGTTGCCCTCATCGGCAGCCCCTCCCTCCCAGGCGGAAGGAAGCGTGTGGGCAAGTCCCGGGGTGTGGCAGGGCCAGGCCTTCCTGGCAGCGGGGGCGTGGGGGCTCGGGCAGGCGAGGGGCCAACGGGGCGGCCAGCAGGGTCCCGACCTCGAACGCCAGCTTGGAGGTGCCTGTAAGCCGGGTGAGTGACGGCGTGAGCTGGAGGCGGCCAGCAGCGGAGGCGTGCATGCGGTTTTGAGGATGAGGGGTGGGCTCGGTTCTCCTCGAGGCCATGCTCTAGTGTTTGCGACACACCTGCTCCGTGCGGTGCTCGGAGCCGCAGCTCTGCCTGGCTGGGTGGCCTTGGGCTGGTCCCCTGGCCTCTCTGAGCGCCAGTCTGCCCCCCGCAACATGGGGCTGCCAAGGTGGGCCTGGCCGGGATAGGCTGGGAGGTGGCAAAAGCCGTGTGGTCCAAGGTCGATGATCAGAACAGGGGTATTTGGTGTCGTTGGGGGCAAAACCCCCACACTGTAAGGAAGACGGTTTTGAAGTTTCTTCTGAATTACCAGCCAGACCTGACTATTCACAGTCCTGGCACAAAATGCAGTCTGACTCCCTCCCGCGATGCCCGCACGTCACCTGCACCCCAGGCACCGGCTGGGGGCGGCCGGGGGCTCCCGTCTCCCCACTCAGCCGCCCCTTGGACCCCAGGCAGGTGTACAGTGAGTCCAGGTGGGGTGTCGCGTGGGCAAGGCCCCCTCGTCTCCTCCCCCCAGTCCCGCCTGCAGCTGGGGCGCAGAAGTCCTGTGCACAGACAGAATTTTTTTAAACTGTGGTTAAAATACATGTAACGTAACATTCGCCTCTTCGGCCACTTGGAAGTGCACAAGCTCGCGGCGTTTGGTGCATTCCTAGTGCCGTGTCACCGCCGATCGCCTCTCTCTAGTCTGTTTTCATCACACCAGGCGGAGAACCCACGCTTCGTAGGCAGGGGCCCCCTCCCGTCCCCCCGGCCCCCGGCAGCCGCGAGTCCACCTTCCGTCTCTGTGGACTTACCTTCGCTGGGCGCTTTGCTCGAATGGAAGCCTGCGCCATGTGGCCCTGTGTGTCTGGCTTCCTTCGCTGAGCATCGTGTTTTCGAGGGCCTTCCGTGTCGCCTGCATCTGCACCCCCGTCTGCGGCCGAGCAGCACCCCGCCGCGTGGAGAGGCCGCACCCTGTGTGTCCCTGCGTCCACGGCGGAGGCCTGGTCGTCTCCTTTTCCTGGTTATTGGGAGTCATGCCGCTCTGGACGTGTGTGCTCGCACGTGAACGCCTGCCTTCAGTTCTCTTGGGTGCAAACCAAGAAGTGGACGCGCAGGTCCCTCGGGCCACACCACTTTACGTTCCCGCCGGCCACGCACGAGGGTCCGGGGGCCGCGTCCGCACCAGCGTGCCGTTTCCTGCCGCTCCGAGCGCAGCCGTCCCAGCAGATGGGAGGTGGCCCTCCCCGTGGTACTGGCTGGCATCCTCCTAACGTGAGTGGCGTTTAGAACCTTTCCTCCTGCTCGTTGGCCATTTGGAGGCCGCGTTTGGAGAACTGTCTGCTCGAGGCCTTTGCCCATCTTCATATCAAATTATCCCTTTGTGATTGAGTTGCAGAAGCTCTTTCAGATGTGACATTTGAGTGCTTACTCGCTCGCTCGTTGATTCTCTCATCCCCTTCACAAGCACTCACGGGCAGGGACACAGGGCAGCCCCTGAGGCCCCAACTTCAGCTTGGACTGGGCGCTGCCCCGGAGGTGGGGACGTGGGCCCGGATCAGGGCTGAGGTTGGTGCTCGACAGACACATGCCTACTGTGTGAATCCTCAGCACCTGGGCCGGCGGGATTGGGCTCAGCGGGGCTTGTGCTTGGCCCCAGGAGGGAAGTAGCATGTGCCAGCTGGAAAAAGGAAGAGAGGGACACCCCAGGTGGAGGGACAGGCACCGCGGAGGGTCCTCGGAGCTCAGGACCCAGGAGACCTCCAGTGCTAGGCAGGGGAGCCCGGGAGCCTATGGAGGGGCTTTGAGCAGGGGAGCGTGGTGGTCGGATCCAGGTGCTGGCAGCGGCGGAGCTGGGTTGCCGGCCTGCAGGCCAAAGGCCAGCGCCGCAACGGCCGGCTTCATCGGCCCCAAGTCCCCCTGGAGTCTCCCCAGTCCCCCCAGCAGGCGTTCCTGCCCTGGGCGCGGGCCTTTGCGGCCTAGCCTGAGGGAAGAGGTCAGGAATGGGGAGCATGCGTTCGGCGTGCAGGACCGAAGCGGGCGCTGACCTGTGGCCTGGAGGCTGGTGCCCGGCAGGGTTCCCATCCGTCTCATTTCCCCGGTCGGCTCGGTTTTCTGAGGCTCTACAATTACCCTGGGCGAAATTCCCCAGATTCCAGCCCACTCCCAGCGCCCCCCCCCCACCCCCGCTCCGCCGCCCAAGGCTCTTCCTCCACACCAGCCTCCGCGTTTCTGCCATTGTGCCCGTGGGAGACCCGGGGAGGCTTTGGCCAGATTAGCGGGTGGGCCGGGCCGGCTGTGGGGATTGAGTGTCGGCCGGGTGTCCTGGTCTCAGCGTGTGCTGTGGGCTCACGCCACATGGGGACTTTCCCAGCGGGCTGAGGGCACTTGGCCGCCTTGGAAAAACACTGGCTGTTTTCTCTCAGGAAAGGGGCAGGCGGGGACCCCCTGTGCAGCAGGCCGGGGCTGTGGGCGTAGGCGTTGGGGAGCCCCTCAGGGTCTCCGCTGCTCCCACCCCGTGGCCCTCACTGAGCAGCCGGGAGCCGTTTTGAAACCCAGCTGTTCGCTGTCGTTCTGCCAAAACCACCCACCTGCCGCCAGCTTGCCGTCCCTTTGCCTCTGGGCGCTCAAAACCAACTGGCGCAGTTTCGGTGGAAAACAGGTTGGGGGTTCCTCCGAGAGCTAAACAAACTGCCACGTGACCCAGCAATTCCACTCCTGGGTATATGCCCCAAAGAGCTGAAAACTGGGACTTAAACAGAAATGTGCACAGTCGTGTGCGTAGCAGCGCCACTCCCAGCAGCCTAAGGCGGAAAGGACCCTCACGCCCATCGGGGGTCACAGGGGAAACAGCCCCGGTCCCTCTGGACAGTGGGGTGGGACTTGGTTTTAAAAAGGAATGGAGCTCTGGCACTGGCCACAGCGTGGGTGACCCCTCAAAAGGCGACGCTCGGTGAAAGAGGCCGGACACAGGCGGCCACATGCCGCACGGCTCCGTCGGTGTGAGAACCAGCATGGTCAGGTCCGCAGGAAGGGGGAGCAGATCCGGGGTTGTGGGGGCTGGGAGGCGCCGCTAAGGGCGCAGGTCTCTTTCCTGGGCGGGGACGATATCTTGGAGCTCAGTCGACGCGGTGGTCGCACAGCAGTGTCCCGTGACCCCGCAGGTTGTACGATCTGGAGGTGGAGGTGGAGGGGCCACGGGTGTGTGTCCGCAGGAAGCGGCCCCCGGGGCGGGGCCCTGCCCGCCGCTCACCCGCCCTGCCCTCTCCTGCCCGCAGAGCGCTGTCGTCCGTCGTGGCCCTGGGAGCCAACATCATCTGCAACAAGATCCCCGGTCTGGCCCCGCGGCAGCGCGCCATCTGCCAGAGCCGGCCCGATGCCATCATCGTGATCGGCGAGGGCGCGCAGATGGGCATCAACGAGTGCCAGTACCAGTTCCGCTTCGGGCGCTGGAACTGCTCCGCCCTCGGCGAGAAGACCGTCTTCGGGCAAGAGCTCCGAGTAGGTAAGGGCGCCTCCGGGCTCGCGGGGACCCTGCCGTCGGGGCTTCGGGGACGCGGGGGGCGTCGTCCGGGCGTCCAGTGAGCCGGGCGGGCTGGCGGTGCGCAGCCGGGCACCGCGGCTGGAGGCGCGCCCGGGGGCCGCGGAGCCGCCATCTGCCCCCGGGACCGGCGTCACCCCCGTGCCCGCGCTGCTGTATCTGGACGCGGGAAGGCAGGAGTCGGGACTCGGGGGGCTGCTGGGGGCCTGATGCGAATGGTGCCCGGGAAGTGTCGTGTGAGTGTTGCCGTGACTCCGAGAGCAGACGGGGTCCCAGGCAGAGGGAGCTGCGTAGGCACACATGCAAGGGGTGCTGTGGCGTAATTGGGGGATGAGACCCCAGAGGCGCCCGCCCAGCTGGAGGGCGGGGTGGCGGGTGCAGGTGGAGTCAGGGCAGGGTCGGGGAGGGGGGCACCTCCAGTTCTGTGGGCAGCGGCAGCCACCGCAGCACATTCCGCAGGGGCGGCGAGACCTCTGCGGGCGGTGCCCCACCCACTGTGCTGTGCAGGGTCCCTGGGCCACACGCTGTGTCTCCACGTCCTTCCAGCCCTGGGAGTCTCCACTGCGCTCAGGGGACGGAGGCCCGGAGCGGGGCGCACGGGAAAAGTGTGACTTCCGGCGTCTGACCCAGCTTTGGATCCAACAGGGTGACTTCTTGCCACTCGGGGCAGCTCAGGGCCTCGGCTTCATCTGTAAAATGCGCTCCAAGCGGCCGCGCCCTCAGCGGGGTCCCCGGCGCCTCTCCTAGTATCTGCACACAGTAGGCGCTCAATAAACCACTGCGGGACGTGTGCGGGTGTGATCAGTCCCACAGCCTACGCCTCCAGGCCGTTTGAGGGTCGGATGGGGGCACGATGACTCGGCGCCGGGCCTGCGGGGCTGCCCTGCTCCCTCAGACCCCGGCCGTGGGCACAGGTGGGCCTCCCGCTGTGCGGGCACAGTGTGTCTTTCTGGTCCCAGGGAGCCACAGCTGCCGGGACCCCGGCCAGAGCCGGAGCCCTGCAGGGCTTGGAACGCCTGGCATGGGGCTGGGGTGGCGCAGGGGAAAGCCCCCAGGGGCCCCTTTGCGGTGAGCAGCCTGTGGGTGGCACCTGGCACAGCCGGGAAGATGGCCCCGCCCCTCCCTGGGGCCCACCACCCAAGCACAGCTCCTCCCTCCAGGTGCCAGCTGGGGAGGTGGGGCTGCCCGCCCATCCGGTGCAGCCCAGGTGCCCGCTTGCCTGCCTGGCCCCTCGCCCCCGGGACCCCGGGCCCTGGGGCAGCTGTGAGCGTCCCCGCTGCGCAGCCGAGGGAGCCGGGCCCAGGGTGGGGGTTGGGGGGGTGCCTGCGGCCACAGGCTTTGCGTGCGGCGGAGCTGGGTTCAGATCCAGGCCTCCTTTCTGGAAACCCTTGATGCCTCCCTGTGCAAAGGGAGAGGGGCAGTGGACACGGCCCCATGGCCTGACAGAGGCCTGGAACTGGGGCTTTATGTGGGATCACGAGACAGGCAGTGGGGGAGCTGGAGCCTCTCCTCGGGATCGGGCTCCAGGCAGAGGGATTCGCAGTCGGTGCCTGGGAAATGCCGGCCTCCTATGGACTGTCCAGAGCCCAGGGCGCTGTTGGCTGTGTCCTGGGCCGCCCCCACGCCCCCGGCGACCTGCCCCCGTAGTGGACACTGTCAGTGCCCGTCCAGGGCACATTTGCCGAGAGTCATGCAGCTCGCCCTGGTCCTCCTGAGAAACCGGTCCTCGGCCCAACAAGAGTCGGGGGTTCCATAGCTCTGCCTGCAAGGAGGGCAGCCACAGCCGGGGGAGGGCCAGAGGGGGGCAGGGGGAAGGGGGTGGCAGGGCCGCCCCCGCCTCGAGGCGGGTGCCCTGGGTGCTGGGTGCGCCCCCGCTTGCATGAGCATCATGGAGGCGCACTGTCTGGCGAGCCGTGCACACCCGCCATCCCCGTTGCTTGCCTTCCCGTGCTCCCCGTGAGTGGCCAGGCTGTTAGCGACCTTCGCGGGCGGAGGGACCCCTCCTCCTTGGCAGGACCCCCGCCCGCCTGGGCTTCCTCTGGCTGTGACTCTGGCTGTTCTTTCTTGGCCCCGCTCCAATCGGCTCTCTCCCCAGGGCCCCGACCAGGCAGCCACTCCCTACGGGCGGCTCAGCAGGCCGGCCCGTGGGAACCCCTGGCTGCCCAGGCTCAGCATCTCGCTGCTTAGATGGCCAGTGCCCAGCTGTCCCCAGCCCCCACCAGCCCCCGCCAGCTGGGTGCTCGGTCGGCTCAGCGGTAGCTGGGTGGTGCCACCCCCTCCACCTCCCGCTCTGCCCTGCGGCTGCTGTGGGGCTGCCTCTCCAGCCCTGCCCGGGCAGCTGGCAGGGCCTCCCCCCGCCTGGCTCCCAGTCCCAGCCGAGCCGCGTTACTCCCTTCCTCTAAACCTGCAGTGGCTCCCTACTGCCGGGGATGAAGTTAGCGCCTCGCCTTGGGGTCCAGGTGGCCCCTGCCTTTCGTCACTCCGGCCTTTCTCTGCCCGGAAACCAGGGCTTCAGCCACAGCTGACTCCCTCCTCTTTCATGAGTGGGCCAGGCCCCCACCCCTCGGGGCTTTGCTCCTGGGACGCCCTTCCCCTCGGCCCTGCGGATTCACACCCCTGCCTGGCTCTTCCTCGACCACAGCCAGGCCACGGTCAGAGCCTCCGGCCCCACCCTCCCCCATTGCGGCCCCAGGTCAGCTCAGCACCTGCCCTGGCTGGGTGGGCTCTCTGTGCCCTGGCCCAGGTCTCTTGGGCGGCCCTCACCCTGGAGCGGGGCTGCGTCCCGCGGGCGGGGGCTGCGACAGGCGTCTGCGCAGGGCTCCGTGCTGGGAGGTGGGAGTCGCGAGCAGGAAGCAGGGCCGCGCCGCGGGGCCAGTCCTTGTCCGAGGCATGCAGGCGCCCCAGGCACGGGACGCAGCCGCGCCGTGCGCTGGCAGGCAGCCGGGGCCACCTGTGGGAGCAGCCACTCGAGCAGTGACAATTAATGATTGGCCCTGAGAGGGGGAACGGCCGGGTGGGCAGGAGGGTGCCTTGCCTGTGACCTTGGGCCATGCCTAAGTCTTGAGAGCGGAAGGGAAACCTCTCACGGGGGCGTGTGGACCCCCATTCAGTTACCACCCCTTTGCCAGGGCCTGCTGCTGTCGCTTCCATGCCTCCAGGGCTGGGGAGCTCACTGCTGCAGACAAGGTAGAGCCCTCTTAGGATGACCGTCGCGGAGCAGAGGCCCACACGGGCCTCCCTCACCTACCGGGTTTCCCCTCATGCTGGGGGCTCCGCCCCTCTGGCCGCCTGCCCCTGCCCCTGCCCCAGGCCTCTGTTGACCTGTGTCTCCTGCCGACGGAAATGGGCTTGCGTGTGGGGCGGTGCGTGTGTCACTCACTCAACCGTCTTCCCTCACGAAGGGGGCGAGGGGGCGGGCCGGGGAGGGAGACAAGGGCAGGGGCGAAGCTGGTATGCCAGGGACGCCCGTTGGAAACCCAGGGCCCCCCAGAGACCCCGAGCAGGGCGGGGTGTTCCTCACAGGCCTTGTGTTCGATTCAGGACCATTGGCCAGGGCTTCCTGGACAGGGTGATGGTAGGTGGAGACCCAAGGGAGGGTCGGAGCGACTCAGGCCGGCCTGGAGGGGAGCGTGGGGAAGGGGGCTCCAGGACGGGGAACAGCATGCCCCAGCGCCCAGAGGCCAGGAAGCAGACGCGGGTATTTTCCAGGAGCTGCGGGAGCATCTAGGGTGAATGGGGGTGGTGGGGGGAGAGCCCCTGGGCCGGAGCGGGGGCAGGGCTGGAGCACCGGCAGCCCTGGTGAGAGGCTGTGCCAGCCCGGCAGGCATGGGAGGTTCTGGGCAGGACAAAGACTTCCCTCCCCAGCCACTGCGTCCACCTTCCACCCGCCCGCCGGCCCTCGGGACCCACCTGCGCGGGGCTCCGGGCCGCCACCCGAGCGAGTGGCCATGGAACACTGAATCCCGCCCACCACGTGCTGCTCAGACATGACCAGGCATAGGGGCCGCCCCTAATCCTGGCTCACGTGGCCTCCCCGGGCCGCGGTCTCCATCCCGTTGGCTTTGTGGGTGAGATTTGCCTTGGGAGCCTGCCCTGAGCCCCCAGCACACAGGGTAGGGGCTCAGCCCAGGCCGCCAGTTCCCGGATGCTCTGCGGAAGCAGAGTGACTCCCCTCCTGTGTCTGAGAGGCGCGGGCGGGGGCCTGGGAAAGAGGGTGGCTGCAGGTCCTGTCTGCCTACTGCACGCCGGGCTCCTGCCCGGGGCCTTGTGGGCCAAGCCCAGGGAGGCACGACATTTGTCCCCAGGAGGAACAAGGGCGCGAGGCCTGCGCTGTCCCCCAAGGGACCGCAGGCCACCGCTGGCAGGGGAACACCTGAAGCATGGGACGTGCAAGCTGACATGTGCTGAGAGTGTAAGAGACACAACAGGTTTCAAAGACTGAAAAAAAGAGCAAGTAAGGTGTCTCTTTAATAATCTTTACATTGCTTCCACGGGGAAACGGTAATCTTTGGAAAGGTTGGCTGAAGCCGCGTTACTGAATGATGTCCACCTGGTTATTGTCACTTGTGTGAGGCTTCTGTCGCATCGCACGCTGTCCGCGGGGTCAGGAGCTGCCCAGAGGCAGCCTGGGCGGGGCAGAGCAGACGTCTGAACCCAGATCTGACCGTCCCCTCCAAGGACTCCGTCCTCCAGCTCAGCTGAGGGCAGGGGTCACTGAGCAGCGGCTCCCTGGGCGGCGCAGGGTGACGCGGTGGCTTAGCCTGCCGAGTGCTGAGCGCCCGCTGTGTCCCAGGCCTGGGCAGGGCGCGGGAGGCGGGTCGTGGGGGCCACCCCGCCCTGCTCTTGGAGCCGTGCACCCAGGATGCCCCGAGGAGTGGATGCGGCTGGGCATTCAGGCCCCGGATCTGAGGGAAGCACGTCTTTGCCCGGCCTGTCTCGGTCACTCCCCCCCGCCCCCCGTTCCG